TATCTGTGCTGATATCACAAGCATGGAAAACAGTTTTGCTCTCTCGCTTGTTGAAGCTTGTTCAGACATACAGCCCTCCCTCCACATGTAGGAAGGTGATGAAATCCTGGTGACCAAGCAAGTTTAGTGGTCCTAAGGCTAAAGTTTTTTGTGTAAATCTATAAATCCACTCGGTAAGGTTTTCTCACAATGGTTCTAATGCTGCATAGATATAATTATCTATTGTCTTCGGATAAACTATTAGCTTCTTCTAGACAATTCTTATAGCATTCAGTCTAACTTTCCCCACACTGTGAAATACTAAAAGGGAGAATCACAAAACCATTGCTTGTGGTTCACCCAAATGACCATTTCCATTGTGTCAGGAATCTAGAATTAACCAATTTAAAATGAAAACAAAATTGGTTACAGACAAATTTCTGAGCTTTACTTGGAATTTCCTGAGGTTCTCCAAGATCTTAGTCTGAAAGTTAAATCACCTTTCCTGTCTTAGTAAGAGATGATGCAATGAGGCATATTGGTTACAACACTGGGAATGTTAACAAGAGAATTTTACTGTTACGTTTTACATAGTGAAATGTTCATGTTGCAGGCATCTATTATCCAGTACTGTTTTTGTGTAAAGATAAAATGTACAAAGCAAAGATTCCCACACTAAATTACTATGGTAATTAGTGTCAGAAAATCATGTTAGCATACATCACTGAAGAACATATTTAACTGTATTCAGATTCAGCCAACAAGTTATTCTGTCCCAAAGAGCCCAGCTCTTGGCCTAACGTATGTGGAAAGCACAATATTCCTTCCTTTTATTAGAATATGTAATATTTTAAAAAAGGTATACTGTACTATTTTTTTCTGGTCTCCGGGAAGTCTTACATAACTGGTTCTCTTTGTGTTTAGAGCAGCATTCAGAAACGTTTAGTGCTCTCCAAGCGTTTGCCAGAGAGCTTTACTGTGAGTAAGGAGAGATGAGAGTGGGGATTCACGTCCAGCTCTCCTGCTTTCCAGTCTGACACTCTGTCCATTACGTCACCCTGGCTCTTTTCTTTTAGAATACATTTAATGTGAGTTTTGTCCTTGCTGAAGCCCACTTATCCCACTGTCTGCTTGTGATGCTGCAGGGTTTCCTTCTAAGCACTGAGATTGCAAAAGTGACCCATCCCATCCCCAACCCATGGCTGGGCATAATTCTTCCATAGTATCTCAGTAGAGATCATCATATGGTTACGCTACTATTAAAATACTGTGTATCTATGATTTTGAGATTTCACAGAGCAAGTAGATGCCAAAGAAGCAACAAAGCAATTTATGTGGAAGATTGGTCATGTAAACTGAAAGTAATACACATGTACACCCCTTCCGCCTGCACACATACCACCACCACCATGTATATTCTGGTGATAATTCAACCTGTAGACGAACTTTCACAGTTGCACCACATTCTTCCCCCACTGAGATTTGTGGTAGAATTCTGCAATCACCATTGTACTTAATTTTTTAAAAATTATGAATACCATACTATACAAATAGCACATGATTAGGTTTCAGATTGAAACTGGTGAGGAAGAGAGTATTGATGAAGCTGTTCAGCCTTAAAATACCTTTTGAAGTGTACTTCTGCAAAACCTGCTGATCTAAATGTGGTTCCAATCCATTTAACTTCTAACCTAGCAGAGTGGCAGTTCTACTTGCAAATTGTCATTTGGCACAGCAATGCTTGTATGCACATAGCATTAAGTACGTGGCCGTGAGATGGCATAATGAGAGAGGTATGCCCCAAGGTGTGTCTTGTTGTTCTGTTCCACTCACATAAGGCGTCACAGCCTGGTTTGGTGACCCCCAAGCCTAGTGCTTTTAGAATGGCCCCCACTCCTCAACATCGGCGGGTGTTGAGGGAGATTAAAAGTCCACTTCAACCAGCCTTACAGCATTCCTTTAATTCATTGAGATTTGAAACTTACACATTAATTGAGATTTTAACATCTGAAAAATATTGCAACCTTAAAAAAAAAACCTCTGGGATTTAAAATTGTTTATAACAATGTTGTTTTGCTACAAAGCAACTTGATGTGGTTCTGAAAGCAAATGTATTCTTAAGAAATGCCTGAGGTGAGATATCAAAATAAGGACACTAACAGGTGTAGATGCTCACTCTAGAATTAATTTGATCACAAGGAGCATCTTGAAACACTTCAAGCTTGAGGCAGGGTTATTCCCCAAAGAAGTTTCCTTTCCAAAGCAAAACTGTAAGAACCTACAGACAAGTCACTCACTGACTGAAAACATTGTGGGAGATTTCATAGTAATTAAATATCTCTGCAAATTCTAATGTAATCAGCTCCAAGCTTAAAAAATAGAGGGGGCACTAAAAACAAGTTACTGGGTAGGAGACAAAGATTGTTCTCACTCAAAAACTGCAGAAGAAGAAAAAAGACAGAACTTGTTTACTTGTACATCAGGTAACACCCAAATGTGTTTATCTTTCCAGACATACTGCTGAGCCTCTTAATTACTCTGCATGATACATGAGAACCTGGTGTGCTTATATTTCTGAATTCCAAATTTAGTGGAGTCTCTCGCACTACTTTTCCAGCTTCTGCAAAGCTTGGGTGGCATCAAAACGGAAATCCTCTCTCCCCCTACATCTTCTCTTTTCCGTCCCTCCCATTCCTCATCTGCCTGGCAGTTTGACGTCACTATAGTTATGATACAACTCTACTCTGGAAGCCTGCTTTGGCATGCTATGCGAAGTTCTGATCATACTGTATCAAAATAGGAGTGTACAGAGTTAGGTGAGGGAAAATATTGTTGTCATTTCTGTTCAGAATTCAATAAAAGTTACAGTGGTTACAGGATGCAAAACTGACAGATTTATCCATCTCATTGGAGTAAGTTAGAAATTTGTTTTAAATAATTTTAAAAATTAATTTCTGTCCACAAAACTGACAGATTTGCCTATCCCTATTTTAGTACTTGAGAAAATGCAGAAAAGGTAACCAAAATGATCGTGTCGGGACATGTTATTTTCCATGTAATGTGAGGCTGGAACAAACCATGCTGGCAGATTCTGGAAACTAGAAATCTCCAAAGAGAATCTTGAAAGGTCTGGTGACAGAGAATCTCCATCCACAGAGACAGTATGCCATTGAACAGTGGGACATTTATCCGTGAAGATTCTCAGTCATCCAGGTGAGGTTATCTGGAAATTGAGTCATGGCAACTGGGACATGCTTATTGCCTTCATGCTCAGCTTGCTGGTTCCCAGTGATAGCTGGCTCTTCACTGTGGGAAACAGAATGCTGGCTTAGACCAGCAGCCATTGTCAGCTAAAGCAGTAGTCCCCAACCTTGGGCCTCCAGATGTTCTTGGACTTCAATTACCAGAAATCCTGGCCAGCAGAGGTGGTGGTGAAGGCTTCTGGGAGTTGTAGTTCAATAACATCTGGAGGCCCAAGGTTGAGGACCACTGAGCTAAAGATCACAGAATTTAGGAGGAAGATGGCATGAAGAACATATTTAACTGTATTCAGATTCAGTCAACAAGTTATTCTTTCCCAAAGGATACCTTCAAACCATAACCCAGCTCTTGGCCTAACTTGTGTGGAAAGAACAATATTCCTTCCTTTCATTAGATTATAATATTAAAAAATATTATGACACAGACTCCAGTTTTGCTCATAATTGCTGCTCCCAGTTCAGTGCAGGCATAGAGATGACTTCTCCTCACTAATAGTATGCAAGTGCAGACAAATAATGAGTGTGTACGGGAGGATCAGCTTGACTCTCCTTAAGCATTGTGGAGGGGAGGAGAGAATACCCACTCTTTATTCTATAATGCTTCACACAATAAATGCAAAGGTTTGTCATATGAGTTTAATGACATAAATAAGTTTGGTAATGATTTTGTACAGGAAAGAAATGCCCACAGAATGACAGATTATAGTAAATGAAGGTATCAGGGGGGAAAAAAAGAAATCTTCATGTATTATGCAAGTTTTCACAGTGAACAAAATACTCCAGAACAAAAAAAATTAAAAATTCACATCAATATAGATTATTTGATACATTTACATTTATGACATATTGCTCATCAGCAATATGACAAAGAGACAGGACCTGCATATATGTGCATATTAAATAAGTCACAATCACCTGGCTGTGCAACCAGAATACGTTTGGGTCAAACCCTCCCTGCTGATACAGAACTTATTTGGCATTCTTTCAAGCATTTGTATAAATAGGCAAGATCAAAATTGTTTGTAAGAAAAAGCAAAAGAGTTCTGAGATAAAAATAACTTCCAAAATCAGCTTCCATGAGACATCCGGTTTAACACTACATTTAGACATAAATTAATGTATCTACATCTTCCTGCACTTATGCTTAATACCTTTCTCTGAAAAAGTAGGGAGTTTTTTTTTTAACAATGGTGCAATAATTTTTGGGTGAACAATCACAAGTCAGGCTATATGAAGAGCATGGAATCACTTTCTTCCGTCCTTTTAATCTTTACTTAGTCCTTTGACATCTCCCCACCCCATCCCCAAATTTCTGCACAGGCTACGGATTGGATCTGACAAAGTCATTCTGCTTCCGCCAGCAGAGTTATGCCCAGCCTCCACCTGCACTCCCTCAAAACCAGCTCCAGGAGACATCCTCAGGAGCAGATTTTCCAGTGATGCAGAGGGCTACAGAGAGGAGGCAAGAAGGGGAAGATCTTATTGCACTGGGACTAATACAATGTTGGATTTAGCTCTCTGGGGTAAGGTCCTTGGGAGCACAGACTCAAGATTGCTACTGATCACTGGTAAGAGAAGGGTACAAACTGTCAACGTGGCAGCTTGTCCTGGTTCTTCCTTGGACCGGACAGGTGTTCGGTGCTTCCCAGCCCCATCTTCTCTGATGGGTGCCCACTCAGAGGCAGTGCCTGGAGGAGGCAGGGAAGCAGGGCGGTGCCTCTGAGTGGGCACCTACTGGAGGAGGCAGGGCTAGGAAGCCCCGAACACCTGTTCAGTCAAGGGACAAACTGGCACAAATTGCCAATTTGGAGGTTCCTGCCCATCTCTAGTCACTGGTTAAGCCTAGCTACTCTTTATACTATAGCAACATACTGAAATGTAAACCATGCTTCATATCTGCTGAATTTTATAAAACTCTTTCTACCTAACAGGGCACTTAAATATCTGAGGAACCAATTATTTAAAGAAAGAAACAAAATAGATATTTACATTCTGCCCACACTGTATTGTCATTTGACAAAGTAACAATTAAAGTGTTATGCCATTAAGCCTAAAATTTTTCCAGTTAGGAAGCAAACATAAAATAGTACTTTTTTAATGTGCACAAATGGTGTTCATAACCTGACACCTGAAGCAATATGGTTTTGTTTAGTAGGCCAATAAGTACAAATCACAATTAATGGCAATACAAAAAGTTAGATATACAGTCATTTATAAACCTGGCAGTATTTAGATACGTTTTTTTTTTCAGTCTTATGGTGGAATGATACAAGTTTTAAGAATGTCTTTTAATCTTTGGAGATCCAGTAAGACATCTGCATTTAGTGTACACTTCGCTTTTTCCAAGCAAGCTCTGGTCAGTTTTAAAATGTTTGGTTATTCACAGCAGCAACTAAACTAATTATTCTTTTGATAAAATGCATGAACAAGCTTTTTTGCTTTTCAATTCTGGTGGAATGTAAAAAATATAATTTTTAAAAGTGAAAATCCTTTTTGCTTAAAAATATGGTACATGGATGAATGTTAATTTAGCTTTTTAAAATTAACCAGAGCAGGAATATCCAGTCATATGCATCTATCACTTACCATTTCACATTCATGCTACAAACGAGTTCTCTCATGTAACAACGCCTTAGCAGCATAAGCTAGACCTGAAAACCTTATCACAGTTCTGTACAACTGAAAGGATACAGTATTTACATCTTTCCTCATGATGATTAAAAGGCAAAACAAATAAAGCTTAGAGAAAGGGAAGCTCCTTAAGCCTTGGGCTCTTTATTTTGCTCCCTCTCCACAACAGATTCTGGTCTCCTCAGCACGCGAAATTGGCTAGCCAGGATTGTTTTTCTTCCTCTTACTTGGACTATGGGTAAGGTCATGTTTCAGTTCTTGGTACTGCACCTGTTTAAACACAAAGTTCAGAGAGAAAATTTAATTCAACTCAACCACTAGAAGAGAGTTGTTTTTGCAATGCATCCGTGCAATGAAAAATAAATTACTCTTACTTGCTCCTGTAAGTTGTATGGACCCTGCACCAAGTGAAGAAGACTTGGCTGAAATCCTGTTGCTTAGTGCAGTAAGTCACGACTACAGGAGACCTATTTGAGTAAGTGAAACTTATAAAGGAGTTGACTCACCAAATAACCACCGGACCTACTCTAGTGTGACTCACAACACAACACTACGCAAGGATTTCAGCCAATGAATTACTAGCTCGTGTGGGAGGCACAATAATTAAAAATAATGCAATAAAAATTTCAGTAAAATGTTTTCCCCAGTTGCCTCCTTAACAACAGGATATGGCTACAAAGGCAAACAGCATGATCTTTAAAGAGAAATAGACAGCAATTTCTTTTGATGGTAGCCACAGAATTGCCTAACTTGTCAGGGATAAGTCTTAAAAACTGGTGTCCAAATACCTTTCTGTTGATGTTACAGCTCAAGATGGAAAGACTGAGGCCTTCCAAATGTTGTTAGACTATAGTTCCAGACCACTGGCTATACTGGCTGTAGCTGATGTGAGCCACAATCCAAAATCATCTGGAGGACCAGAGACTTCCCAAGCCTGTTATAGCCGTTTAGGTGAGTTGCAAAGTGTGCTTAGGAAAGGGTAAACATTCGTAAACAAACAAACAAACAAACAGTTCAAAATGCACTTCTGCAAATATGATACATGTGTAGAGTAGGTGTGGGCTAAGTTCAGCCCTTCAGATGTTGCTCCCAATATCCATTATTCGTTGCTATGCCAGTTAGGGCTGATGGGAGTCCAACCAACATCATCTGGAAGACTGCAGGGCATGCAGCAATGTAAGTTTATGTAAGTTTCTTCCATTGTCAAATAACTTAAAGAACAACAGAGCATATTTCTACCATCAAGAATTAGTGGCAGTAATCTCAAGTGGGTTTTTGTTGGCGTGGTATCCTGGGTAAAATAATCTGGTGTTGTTTATACCTGGGTGCCTTTGATTTTCATCATGTTACATCCCTGTTTGCAGTTGCAAGCCATGCAAGCCTGAAAGAGCAGATTGCTTGCCACAGGGATGGTGTCTGAAGAAAGAGCTTTGATTAGTTGAGAGATGTCTTTTCTTTCTCCCCCTCAACAGCCACCTTTGCATCCTATCACAAACGGTTTTTGAATGCCACCCCCCTCTGTTTTAAAGCCACTTTAGCATGTGACCTAAGGAAGAAGGTCTCCAAAATGCAGAAGACAATTCAACACATGAAACGAATTACAGTCTTTGATTCCAAGCAATATTTTATGTATCACTCTTCAGCAGACTCTCAGACCAGTCTATGAGAATCTTTAAGGTTATATGATAAAAACCCTGATAGAAATATTATAAAGATATCTCTGTCACAAAATCTGTAATGTTGAATCGAAACATAAGATACTTTATGCTGAAATATTATATTCTCCTGCCTGATATAGCTATGGTGGAATATGCATTTATGTTTAATAATTTTAAAACCCTCACTTTTTGGAATCTGCTAAAAACTAAGGCCAGCATCCTGCTGACAGCAAGCAGAAGAGTCTTTTTAAGAAAATGTTGATGACTGTCTTGTTTCAAGAGGCATTCTCACCTACGTTAATTTTGTATGAGTACCCTGTTTTGCCATCATTTGGGCTTTTATTTATTGTCTTCACTGTTTAGAAGTATTTCATGTTAGTATGTGGGGTGGAGGGTTTCTTGTGTTGTCTTACTGTAAACCACTCAGAGTAATGCTTTGCAGTGTCAGTAGTATAGAAATGCATTAAATAAATAAATTGAGATAGATAGATAGATAGATAGATAGATAGATAGATAGATAGATAGATAGACAGACAGACAGATAAGAAAGACTTAATGTTTCATCTGCAGTGTTCTTTGATCTCTAGCTTATAGCGGTGCAAGCCAGAGATCAATCTGACTGCTTACAAAATAGCATACACTTGCACAAGTAGATACTGGACATCTTTTTGTGCAAGCTCTGAAAAAGCTCCATCATTCACATAACAGAGTAATGTGTGCAAGGAATGGAGTCCTGGGATTCTAACTAGAGATGGGGTATACAAGTACCCCCGTCTCTAATTCTAACCTAAGGAACCAACAGGAGAATTCTAGGCAAAATTTAAGACATGATAGGTTAGGGCTGATGGGAATATCAGTACTGTACTATCTCACTGGTATATTCACAATGCTCTGTGAATATGATCTGAGAAGTACTCCAAACTGAAGTACTCCAAACACAGCAACAGATATGTTTTTTTAAAACATTAAAAAAGAAAATTTATAATTATTTGTAAAATTATTACAAACATAGTAAGTTTCAAACATAAAGTTATACAGCATTATAGTTATAAACATGGTATGTGTTATAAAACTGGGATTGTCTGGAAATTAAAGTAATTAGCTATAAATGGAAGACGTATACACACCACTTGTACATCTGAAGGAACTCTGGAAAGGAAATCGAGCAGTTCATTGTTATCAATTGCATATGGACTTCGAAGCTTCTTTGTAAATTTATTAATACCTAAAACAGAGTAATAGTTTATCTTAATCAAATTCTGAAATTGTAATGTCAAAATAAAATTCAAGGACTAGAAATAACTGGCTACAAACTCATTCTTGATGGATTATTTTTAGTTACTCACTTCTAATTTTTTTAAAAAATGTAGGATACTGCAGTTCTACTTTATAAAATGCAATAAAGTAATCATTTCATCAGCTATAAGGCCTCTTACATTTCGTCCCAAATGGAACCATCTTTTTCCTGTCACTAACCACATGGAGCTGGTCTTTCATGCCACCTAATTAAATATACAGTACTGCACAAGACTGGATGTGGGTGAACAAAATAAGGTTCAACCTAGACAAGACATTATGTTGGTTAGCATTAAAACTGTGACAGACAGGCCAGGAACCACACCTGTCCATCACAATGGAACACGGATTTAGTAACCAATAGTTAAGCAGGAGGGTGGAACCAAGGAAATATAAGAACAGAATGGAGGACAGTTAGAGTGACAGTTTGTCAGAGCTGAGGCTTCAGTTAGTAACGAGTTAGAGTTAGGACTTCAGTTAGACAGGAGTTAGGTGTTTCGGTTAGTGATGAGATAGGACAGTTAGTCAGGAATTAGGGAAAGAGTTGGGTAGTTGGAAAAATTTGTTTTGGAAAGAAACACTTGCAAAGAAACATATAAGAGAACTGAATGCAACTGTTCTAAAGTGACTGAAACTAAATACAAAGTAACCAGCATATTTCCAAGCTAAATGAAGTTTAATGAATACCAAATACAATTCCATCTATGATTTCCTTGATTCTTAAATATGTTAATCTATTAATAAATAATGTTATATTTAACACAACTCTGTGGTCCTAATTGATAACTGAGGAAGGATTTCCTCTGGTGGCAGTGGAAGTGGAGACAAGAGAAACTGTCATGCCTGAAGGCTAATCTGTTTGTTAGGGCGAACATACAGAAGAGCTGGGTGTGTGTGACAAAAACAAACCCAGCAATGGAGACACAACTTGCTCTGGATGGCACTGGCACTTCCTCTGAAGGACGGGTTCATAGTTTGAGGATAGTTTTGAACCCAGGATTGTTACTGGAAGACCATACGTTCACCTCCAGCTAGTGTGCCATCTGTGCATTCACTAAATAATGTGGATTGGGCACAGTGATTTATGCCTTAATTATCTCTTGAACAGTTTACTGTAATGTCCTCTACGTAGAAATGGCCATGAAAAGTGTTTAGAAGCTACAGCTAACACAAACTGAGAGTGCTCTGACCATATATTGCCAGTTTTAAACCAAGGAGCTCTTGGCTTCTGAGCTCAATTTAAGGTGGTGGATGGACATATGGAAGCCCTAAATGGCTGCAGGCCAGGATATCTCAAAGTCTGCTTTCTCCTTTATGAGACTGCCCACTGAACTCTTCAGTGGAGGCCCTGTTTGGCTGCTGAAGACATGAACAACAACAAACATTCACAGGTTAATAAATCATCATCACCATCATCTTTGGTGCCATTAAGTCAATCCTGATTTATGGTTACCCTTTTCAGGTTTTTTTTTAGGTAGAGAGTACTCAGAAGTGTTTTCCCATTCCCTTCTGGGGGCATCTCAGCTTGTCCAAGGCCACACAGGCTGACTCCTGGTACGCAGAGTGAGGTACTGAACTCCCAATGTCTGGCTCAACAGCCAGATACCTAACTCACTGGGCTATCCAGCACTTATTTTATATTCTGTGACACTGCAGTTTTATTCAAGAAAAGGAATATTTTATATAGAAAATTAATATTTTACCAGTGATTTTGTATACTGTTGCTTTATTCAAAATATTTTTTTATTATTTGCTCATTTTTCTGCTTTTTTTGGTAAGTATGGCTACTTGTACTTCACCTATAGACAATGTTTACATACTATTTAAGAACTGTTATGTATTTGCTACATGATCAAATTTGGGGGCTATATTTATTTTTTCCCAGAATTCTCTTATGCTTTTTTTTAAATTTTAGCTCATGAAGGAAGACATCCAGTCTAAAATGCTCAAGTGTACCAAGCAGTAAATAATTCAGTCATTTCAACACTGCAGTTTTTGAATCCCCTGTCCCAGTTTTTGCTCGTTAACACATGAAATGGGGCATTCTTTGTAGCAGCACCTCAGTTCTAGAACATCCTTTTAAGGGAAGTTAAGCTAGCTCTACCCTCCTTCTGCTGCTGGTTGGTGGTTGAAACTATGCTAAGTCATATGGACTTTGTTTTTTAAAAATGGCATTTAAAAATGGTTTTTAATTCATATTCAGAAAAGTCAGTTAACTGTTTTATTATACATCATTTTGGGAGACCTCATGGGCAAAAAAAGCAATTACAATGCTTTTAATAATTAGCAAATAAATTTATGTGAAAACATGCACAAGTTTTAAAAATTGATACAACAGCTTTTGGACACTGCTGTATTATATAGGTATATTTTCCAGTGCATTTAAAAGGTGACCTCTCATTCTTATTTCCTAGGGAATATCTCTATATATTTCTGTTTGATAAAGGACTAGAAAACATACTGTCCTGTTATATATACATTGCAGTACTATTATTTTTATGTAACTGCTGAAAATAAATCAGAGTAATATCTAGACAAAACTACAGTTTGATATATGAAGAATCCTTGTGGATACATGTTTATAGTATGATGAAGTCTAAAATGCTAGGCAAGAAAAATGTGTTTTTCAGGTGGATCTAAATCTCTACACAGTTGTGACTCCTAACTAACCTGTCTGTTTCCATCATGTACTACCTTCATGAACATAAATACAGAAAACCATGGACAATATAACTCATCCCTTAAAAATTGTTTGCTGTATGTGGCACAGACAACTTTGGAGGGGGAAAGAGGCTTTACTTACCCCAGACAAGGACAATGTATCTCAGTGGAATGAAATACAGGATGACTGTGAACACACAGAGGGCAACAATGGCCAGCCAGCTTAAGAATGGAACAGTCCAGTTGAATGTACTGAATGAAAAATTAACAGAAGTCAGAAATATAATAACTTCACATAACAGAATTAATAAAATATTATGATAAAAGACCTTCCAGGTAGAATATAGATTAGTAAATGGAAAAAAATTGCCCAGTGAGAGAACCAAAGTGGCTTATTATGAATGCATGGATATAGAACATGAGGTGTAAGATGGGGTTTGAAACCACTCCCTAGAAAATGACACAAGATTTCTGGACTCTCCTGTGGTGTACATAGAAGATATCTTCAAATTTTACAGCAATGATTCTTCATGCAAAGCAGTAATGATTTTCAGTGCTTTCCTCATCTCCACCTCTATTATTGCCCTTCTTTCAAAAGTTTTCTATACAGTACAAAAGTAAAAAAATCTTTTCCATCAAGATGGGGCCCCATGCTGTCATCTGTAAGTTGACAGAACCTAAAACTTTCAGATGGAAGTTGTGAAAAGAATTAATCTGAAGGACTAATAATACTCTTCTCACAGCCAGGAAAGATGATATAGAGGACCAATTATTCTCAAGGGTCTCCAAGCCAATGTGGTCATCTGAATGGGCTCTTAGCAAAAAGGAAGATTACACAATAAAGTTTGAAGTATAATTCAGCATTTTTCTTCCAGAGGTGGAGTTTTTGTTTTAGTTTGGAAATTTTTCAAAAGTCCTAATGAAAATGATGACATTTTCATGTCAGAAGACACCAAATGAGTGTAAGTGATCATGTTATAATACCTCATAACAAGATATTTTTCTGTTTTTTCAAAACTTCATAACATTCAGCAAGATGATAAAGCACACACATGAACACCATCTAAGAGAGTAATTAAGTACTCATGAGTCAACACTCACTTCTTTATCCTTTCTCCAAAGGAAGCCACTTCATCGAGGACATTCTGGACACTGACACACACTTCTTGAATGGCATAAAGCTTATTCATAAATCCTTTCTTTTCACTGTCCTAAGGATAGTAAGAAAGAAGCCAAATCAGTAACCATAAGCAAGCTTTGCTGGTCATATGCTTCCCTCAGAAAATCCTGGAAGAAATTATTATATCACATTTTAAAATATTATTACACACACATTAATAGGTTATTTTCCTTTACTATGAAGTATACCCACAGAATACAGTCGTGCCCTGCTTAATGATTAGCCCATATAACAATGAATCCGATTCACGATGATGTTTTTGCAATCGCAATTGTTTTAATGGGGTTTTTTCGCTTTGTGACGATTGGTTCCCTGCTTCGGGAACCGATTCTTCACATTACAGCTGATCATCAGGTTTTCAAAATGGCTACCGGCTGCTCAAAATGGCTCCCTGCTGTTTTTAGGAGGCATTTTTTGCAAGATAGGCACCCGAAAATGGCCCCCGTATGGAGGATCTTCGCTGGACGATTAGGTATTTCGCCCATTGGAATGCATTAACCGGTTTTTAATGCATTTCAATGGGTTTTTTATTTCATTTGACGGCATTTTCACTCTACAGCGATTTCACTGGAACAAATTAACATTGTCAAGTGAGGCACCACTGTACTTAATTGTTTCTACTATTTGTTACATTAGTTTCTTAGATATGTTCCAATAATTCAACACCTTGGATGATTATGATTATTTGCCAGGGATACCATTTTAGACCCTGTGCGCTTTGGTAAGAGGTAAGTGTTAGAATATTACTAGTTCACATTTCTGAAATGCATTTTCTGCTGTTGACAGGAATATATCTACATTTCAAGCTAGTAAAAGTTTCTCTGGAAGTACTGGGAGTAGGAAACCAGAAAAAACCAAGATTCTCAAGACAAACACTTGGGTTTTACAATGGTTTTGTCTGGTTTCTGTGTTTCCACTGACTATCTTAGAAAGGAATGGTAATTTGTTATCAATTTTGGGTGAGTAGAACCATACATTTTGATATAAATTTACATCAGTATTAAACACAATGCCTCAATGTAGCCATCACACAAGGATAATCTGAAAAGATTAACAGTAGTCTGCAATGTTGTTAAACTGGCAAACTTTTGTTATGAATGACCACTAAACCATAATGTGGAACCATGGTTTAAAATAAGTTTGCAAGCTGTAGTTTGGCATTATGTTTCACCTAACAAGATGTATGTTCTGAATACACCCCTTGACTTTCCACTGGTCTATGATACACCTATTGCAGTATTATTTAGTTCCAGTTCAAGCAAAATGTGCAGACTTGTAAGGTATTTTTCTTTGTCTGTTTTTCACAATGCTTAAAATTTCCCCACACTTTCAGAATTTTCCTGTTTTTTCACCTTTGATTTCCACTATTTGGAAATTCAACTTCCCAGATATGAAGCCATATAATTTGTGAGGAAGGTCAAACCTTGCTGGCATTGCTTGTTAAATACAAAATAATATATTACTATAGGGTTTCAAAACTGTTCTATCATAAAAACAACTTGACAATATTGCTCCTTAAGAATTAGGGTGGACTACACTTTGCTGCAATTTGATTCGCAGCCTGTATTACCTTTGAAATCCCAGTCAGTGTTCACACAGGGGTTGCAGATTGATTCAGGAGTTCATCATTCATACTTGATGCAATGAAATAAGGATTCCAGCCCACAGCCCTCCTTTCTTTTCTTCCTCTGGTCTCACCTCAGCTGATTTGATGGGGGGGGCTGATGGTGGTGTAAATACAGGAAACAGTAATAACAATGACCTGATTTGCATTCCTACATTGAGCAGGGGGTTGGACTTGATGGCCTTATAGGCCCCTTCTAACACCAGTATTCTATGATTCTATGACCTAGCAATAAGGTGACAGGGTGATCTAGTGATAAATAAAAAAATGGAGCACAATCAGAGGATTGGAAAGAATACTTGGGCCTGTCCCCTTAGTCCTGAACATCACACTCCAAATGCCTTCATCACTAAAACACCACCTACAGACACACACTCTCATCTTTACAAGAATGTATCATAACTCACATAGGAACAAGCCCATTCAAATTGTTCAGGTTTGAAAAAGCAGAAGCCTCCCTGTGTCACAGGAAAAAAAAGGCTGTTCTGGGAACTGATACAAATTAGCCTAATTCACCCATTTTATGATTGGAGCAAGTTCCACATATTTGATAAGGTAGCTGCAGCTTCAGTCATGCTTTAAATGCCAACAGCAGAACTATTAAAGTATTTTTATGTACTGAGCTAATATATTTTACTTTTTTCACTAATAATTCGAAGTGCAGTAGATCCACTGCAAGAATGAAACTTATGTAACTGTTGACTTACCAAACTTCCATTAATTCAGTGGGTCTCCTCTACATGGGACTAAAAGAACAGTAAACTTAAGCCTCAATAATTTAACAAGTCAAGCTGGAGAAGTGAGTATGGAAACATACTTAGACCCTAGCTGTAAATCAAAATTTGTTCTGAAGATCTTAAGAATTGAATCATAAATGACCAAGAGGCCACTGATAAGAATCATAGATGTTTATGCGTAACCAAAGTATTAGTAATTTGGTATACCTTTTCTTAAAAATCACACATTTCAAGAAACTGCAATATATGATAGAAGCCATTTTGCTTCTCTAGTATCTCCATGTGATTAACAGAAGACATGGAATACGTATTTATATTAGTATCCCTGGGGATACGAATACGAATATCAGCACCACTTCCCCGCCTACCCATGCAGCCAATTGCTGAACAGCTGACCAGGAACACTCTTCATCTTGCCTCCTCACTTGAATGATTGGCTGCACAGGGAGGTAGGGAAGCGCCAGTTGGGTAACTTCTATGACTGGCGCGACAAGAACTATGTCAGCCATGTACTCTATGCAGCGATCAGTAATTGGACCTGCAGGTTTTTTTGGGGGTGATAGGGACTTGGCTTCCCAGGCAAGTAATTGGACCTGCAGGTTTTTTTGGGGGGGATAGGGACTTGGCTTCTCAGGCACCCCAGGGATATGAATATGAACATCCCATGTCTAGTTAAGAGTGCTTATTCTTCTGAAGATACAGTGGTGCCTCGCATTACGACGTTAATTCATTCCAGCAAAATTGCTGTAGAACGAAAATGTCGTAATGCGAAAAGAAAAACTCCATTGAAACACATTAAAACCCGTTTAATGTGTTCCAAAGGGCTGTAAACTCACTGTCCAGAGAAGATCCTCCATAGGGCGGCCATTTTCGGTGCCTGTGCAGTGAGGAATCCGTCCCAGAAAACAGCGGGAGGGGGGCATTTTGTTTACCCGGTGGCCATTTTGAAACAGCAGATCAGCTGTTGGAAAATCGTCGTTTTGTGAATAATTGGTTCTCGAAGCAGGGAACCAATTATCGCAAAGTGAAATTCCCCCATATGAAACATCATTTTGCGATCACAAAAGCAATTGCAAAAAGTTCATCGTAATGCAGTTTCATCGTTAAACGGGGCAATAGTAATGTGAGGCACCACTGTATTAATAATATTAATTATATGGTGTCAAGAAAATTTTGATTTATGACTACAATTTCTAGGTTTTCTATGTTTTGATCAGCTATTCTCAACAGGGCCCACATGGCCCTCTGAGGGCCCCTGACACGTTTGAAGGTGGCTACAGACTAGTTTGACCAAAGTCCGGGAGGCAGTGGAAGACAGGAGGACCTGGCGTGCTCTGGTCCATGGGGTCACGAAGAGTCAGACACAACTTAATGACTAAAGAGCAACAACAGACTAGAGACATTTCTTTATACTCCACCTGATAAGATTCGTTATGCGACTTATACAATCCTGATTTGGTCTATATTATTTTCATATTGTGTTTATGGTAATGGCGAGAAAAAAAAAGGTTGAGAATGACTGGTTTATTCAGAATTGGTGTACCAGTGTCTTCTTATGAGGATGCTCTAGGACTGTGTAGCTTGCTTAAAGTCACACAAGTTGGCTGTTCTGTCTGAAGGAATGGAAACTGAACTCCCAACCTAACTTATTGAGCTATCCAATCAGTTTCTTAAAATATTAGGCCAACAAAATATATGTCTAATTATGTACACCCCTTGAAGAACATGCATTAAACTATCCAACTATACTATACCATAGGATAACACACATCAACATCAAAATAATTCAATAATGCTATATATAGCAAGGTAATATTTAAACTGACTGTGTTGCTACAGCAGTGTTTTTCCCCAGCAGAATTGACCATATATATATGAGGGCCTTGAAACAATAATTCTGTTCAATAATTCCTATGTAAACAATAAGCTAGCTTGAAATCACAACTCCTTTCTGTTTCTACTTACATCTTTTCAGTTCAGGTTCCCAGATCTAAGCATATCTTGATTCATCACCAAAGCTTGTGTGGAAAGAATGCGACCAGAATAACAAAAACCATACCCTATTCTTATATCTCTAGAGCTCAATAAGAATTTTCATTGGAAGATCCTGAAGCTATTTTTCTTTACAGATATTTTAACAAGACCAACTTGTACCTTCTTCAATCCACATATGTTCTGAATTTTCTCTCTTAACGGAAACGGCCACTATCCCTTCCTCAGTCCCATTGCACATGCTGCTTTGGAGCTTAAAGGAAATTTGTTGACATATTCGAAGAGAAACACAGACAAAACAGCATAGGAAAGAGGAGGCAGCCATAAGGAGAAAGGTTCAGCTTTACTTAAACTAATTCCACATGGCCCATGAACCATTAGCTGTTTTTTATTTCCTGTTCTAAAGATTTGTAGAGAAAATAATCTGGGCTAGAGAAAAAATACAACTCTCCCCACACCCCAGTAAGGTGCTGCGTTAGCAAATAGAACATGTGAACCAGCTTCAGTGAACTAAAGTCTTAATAATCCATTTTTTAAACACTACTGGCATTTCCTGTCCAAACAAAGATGGGCTGTAACTGGAATCAATTTTATCATCTGTATAGCTACAAATGCAGACTTTCTGGAAATAATTGTCTTTTAAATGCTAGGTAGAAGTGCAAACAACAGTTTTACAGC